GACGAAACCTGAAAAATTTTGCCTACTTGTGGCTATTTTTGCCTACTTCTGGAGAAGGGGGGAGAACAGTTTTTTGTAGCAGCCACCTTCCTGTTCACCCTGTTAAGACTTCTGAAGTATTAGAAGATAGTTCAAACACCACAGAAATCTAAAAACCCTTTAAGTAAATTGCTTTTTTGCAGACAAACTGCTGCTGCATCTTTAAAACAACGTACTTGGAAATATATTTCATTGATAATCACTGATGGGTCAGCAATACTAGCCTCCACATCTTGCATTCTTTTCCATCTATTTGATCTGGCTGGCCAAATATATTGGAAATGGAAATGCTCCAATTGATGGATCTGATGATTCTCTGCTGGAACAATGAACCTCTGAACCAGAATTGATTAGAACAAAATGTTTTAAGTGTTGTTTTTCATTAATAGTGGCAGTAAATTCTGGAATAGAGGTCCAGCAGACTTTAAATAAATAAAGCAGGGATTTCTGAATCTCTTGTAAACTAAGCCAAAACGTCTTCAGACAATAGTAGAAGCATTGGAAGACTAACAGCAAGGCATCCAGTCTTCCAGCTGTGGTGTTTTCCAACCTCTACCGAAGGTTCCGGAGTGGGGCTTGAGGGAAAGGAAAGCCCACTTAGGAGGTTTTTTCCCCACTGTGCTCCATGTTCTGCTCAGGCACTGACAATTCTCAGCCTCTGGCACAGAGGAAGGCAGGCTCATACTGAACGGTAGTTCCTGCTTTCCATCTCCAGCACCTACGTGCAGGAAAGAAACGGGGAATGCTTGCTCCCTTCTTCCTACATCAAGTTACCTAAAGGGACCTGGTGATTTCATGGACATGTCCATGCAATTTTCTTGGCAACACAAGAAGTGGTTCACGACGGCCAAATTCTAATTTTATAACTCCCCAATTTAGCCTACAGCCCTAAAATTCCCCATAAGTGTCCCAAGTCTGGCCTGATCTGCTTAGCTTTAGCCCAGGAGTCAGAGCAAGCAGTTATGGCTCCCTCCCTTTGCGTGGATAAAAATGACCTTCCTCTACATGAGTGTCAGACAATTCCTCATGGCAGGATTTGGGGCAGTTGCTTGTTCACTTTTAAAGACAGAAAAAAGTGAAAGCTTTGAGAAGGCAGAGGTCTCCATTCCACTTCAGGCCCTGGAGCCAGCTGGGAGCCTGGAAGCTCTATTCCCCTCCCAAGCCAGATTTTCCCCATGCATGCATAGAGGTCATGGGATCTGGAACACTGCTAGAGAAGATTCGTAAGAATAGTGGAGACACTAACACCACAACTCTTTTGGATGATGGACAGAAGAGAATACGATAGGCCAGGAGGATCCAAGCAGAATGGAGACCTCTCCATCCAGGCTTCATTTATGGAAATGTGCAAACTTTTGCTAATGGGAAGCCTGAAAAAAGTTTCTTGGTGGTTTGATGGAGTGAAAGAAAGTGTGGATGAGAAAAAAATGCATAATGATCCCTGCAAAAATAAGGATGAGTGAAAGATACATTATGAGAGAAAAAGCAAGTTGCAAGAGCATAAAGAGAGTAAGGAATGGCTAAGATTTTAAAGAGGCAGAGAAAATGCACAGCAATTTTGATAAAAGTAAAACAGTTGTTTGAGAAATGGCTGAAAAGTCATAAACAAGATGCTTCCAGCAGAATGACTGGAATTAAAAATAAAATTTAGAAAATTATTTGGAATGGAACTTAAATGATGGAATGCTGGAAGAATTATTTTAGAGAGTTGCATAATAATGACAGGGATACAGTCAAAGTAGAGTTGTGCCAAGAAAAAAAATGAGAAAGAAGGAATAAATGTTCAGAAATAGTTAGGCTACGGGTGCAAAGTGATGTAACTGGCAAAACATCAGAGCACTGATACAGTTCCCTTATGGGTGGCTGCGTCACTTGTTTAACATTGGGCAAAGATGGTGTATCTGCTAACTTGCAATTGGAAGAACAAGATTAAAGGGACACATAGCAAGAGTGAATGCAAAAACTCCAGGACAATTCATTTCTTAAGTCTGCTTGGGAAGATGCTTGGCAGGATTTGGATTGATGGGGTACGAGAGAGAACAAGGAACACAACTGGAGAAGTGTGGCATGGCTTTATACCAGGCAGAGTTTAGCTTTTTCACCTGTCATTGAGACATATGTTAAGGGGGCGGGGGCTTCAGTGCCACAGTCATGCTGCCACTATGGCTTTTTTGAGTCCCCCTGCAGATGCCCCTGGTTAGGAGAAATAAATATTTGTCAAAAGAAGAAAAAATGGCATTTCTGCTCACTGTGTTGGACGGAAGTGAAAAGTAACTTGAATAAGTGGGAATGGGGTACTTAAGAAGTGTGGGTGTGGTGAAACAAGAAGAGAGTCAAGAATAAAAGGTGCTGAAAGAAAGTGGATTAAATTCTAATGCATGGGATCAGTCCATAAGAAATACGTTGAGATCGTTTGATTATATAATGCTTTATATATAATTACAATGTTTATAATATGTCTATTACATGTAATGTTTATAATTATATAATTATGATGTTTTGAACCACAAAACAAAGATATGAGTAGCGTGAGACAAAGGGGAAGGCCAAAAAATGATGGCTGGATGGAGTTCATGAGATCAAGTGTTTAAAGAATGAAAGATTATTATGTATGAATTGGCATTTGAACATGAGAGAACAAAGGATGGCTACCAAAGTCAAAAAGCGATGGAGCTGCAGAGTGAAGCATGAGGGGGTGAACAAGATGTCACTACGCTTCCTTTTCTTGATTTTTATTGCATGCCTTTCATCTCCTTGGCTTGCTATTTCTTACATCCTTTCTGTGCTATGCATAATGTTGCATAACCTGACAGGAACTTGCCTGTCATACGCACAAACTATATCCCAAAAGGGAAGGAGCAAACAGCAGCATTTGGCTAATCTCATAGCCAAAGCAAACAGCTGTAACCTATGAACTGTCACCAGTGTTGGTCTGAAGCCAAAGAAAATAATAATCAAATAGCATTCTTTCATTCTGGAGATGAAATATTGGATATTTTTTACTGGGAATAATGGCCATAAGAATGCCATTTAAAGACAAATATTTTACTTTTCAGGGATAAATGGCCATCTAGTGGCAGTTATATGGTTTCCATTCATAAGAGTCCATAGTTATGAATGAGAATCTGCCAGATTCATGACTATTGCCTCAAATCATGAGCAAGATATCTGGGTTTGATTGTCTTAGTGTTTAGGAAATATACCCACAGCTTGCCAAACATGGTTCATGGGAGAGCAGTTTCCTGCTAGCCCAGCAAATATTAATCATTTTTTTCTAGACTACCTTTCTTGTCTATAAAACAGACAATAGGATAAAACTGCATAAATTACGATGACCGTACCACTGACTGTTTTAACAGAAAATCCTATGGAAATCAGCCATCTATGATTGCCCAGTTTTTCACCATCTATCACAATTCAAGGACAAAAAGAAATCCAGCATCTGAAAGAAAAACAAACAAAATTGGATACTTTGAACTACATCTGTGTTCAGTTATACAAAGCCACTGCGGTGCAGTGGTAAAATATTGGACTGAAGACAGCTGAGATCTAGTTTTAAGCCTCTACTCACCATGGAGTTCGTCTGCCGAACTGAGTTTATCCATAAAGTTTTTGTGATGAAATGATCTTAGAAGAAGGGACTATGGGAACGGGGGGAGGGAGACTGCAAAAATCTGTGCCACCATGAGGTGGCAACAAAGAGAACCTTTAAGAAAATCCTTCGGTGTCCTCAAGTGCATTTGCCTCAGATAGTTCTGCTATCTCCCAGTAACACTTAGATACTGGCTATGTTCAGTCCTAACAAGGAATAGATTTGGTTTGGATGCAAAGATAATAAGCAACCAATTGGGAAAAGATAGAGGGATTTTATTAAATCAAACAGAATAGTAGCCACAGATCATTAGATCAGAATAACAAAGATCATTTTATGGCCCTTCTGCCTGTCAGAAACTCAAGGGTGATGGTGGATGGACCTCTAAAGCCAGCATGAAAGGAGTACTTTCTCAGGATCCTTCTGCACTGAGTTTTATCCTAAATTAAGCAATAAGAAATAAGCTAAGAAAGATATTACTAAACAGCAAGAAGAGATATTAGGTTATTATACTTAGGTCCTCATCCTAACTTCCTGCTTTCAAGATTCTGCTTTTCAACCCAAGTGGTTCCTCCTGCTGTTGGGTACTTCCTGCCTATCACATCTCCACTTAGCCCCCCGTCTCGTTTTGGTTTTTCAATCCTTGTTCCCCAGCCTTTACCACCTTTGTTTTCTCTCCTGCCCCCCCCCCCAACAACATGGAGCTTCCTCCATTGTTTGTTTTATTTCACTTATTTCTAAAAGGAGTTAGTTACTGTGTAGCTAAAAACTTTCAAAGCTCTGCCAAGCGATAAAAAACGTAGAACGACACCGCCAATGAAAACAACAGGGAAAAGCAGGGGAGACAAGAAATGTAGTAAGGATAAAACTACTTAGCAAGAATAGTACAGTAATCAGAGTGGTGCAGAAGAGGTATCTGAAGAAGCGCCAGACAGATCTTTTTGGAGAACAGAGTCAAGGGCCGATACTGAAAATCTCCTGAGAAACAGTCCCAAGGGTGATCAGGGCAAAGCTCTTGGGGGTCTGTGTCTTCAGGGAGGAATATGACGGAAGAGGCATGACTTTGGGGACTGTGACCCTAAACCATGACGGGCTTTCTAAATCCACACAAATTTTTCTGTTAAAACTCTGTGGCCTGAATGACTCACTCCACAGAAATAAAGAAATCATTTTTTTTATCTTTTAAAAAATCCATCATCACTTGGATAAATATTGTTTTAAACCTTTGCAAAATATACCCTTTCTTGCTGCATCATTTTCTAGCACTGGAAAGCTAGAGCTACAGAAATATTACATATGCACATACAAACACACACTGTGTTTTATTGGCTATTAATGTTTAAAGAATAACCACATTTATTTACCCCAATTAAAATAGATATCAAAACAATCTTAAAAATGAACACATATAATAAAATCCTCTACTAAGCCCCATATTCCAAGGAAAATAATTTATCTTGGTAGCTAGGAAAATGTAGCAGCTACCTCAGGTTTTGCTATATATATTGTAACCTTACAAATAATTCTCCTCAAGCAGGTCCATAATACATAAAATCAACAATACAATTTAAAAAAGAAAGAAAGAAACCAGCTTCTTATACTAATAAACACTTTAGTTCCAAAAACAGCAAGTCTCTCTAGCTGCCTCATTTACACTACGATATTTTTCTCTTTCAGAAAGCTTCATACTCAGAAAAGTTCAGGGAAATGATGTCTTGCAGAAAATAAACAAAACCCAAGTAAGAGTTGTCATGTTTATAGTAGGAGATGCCTGGCTATGATTTTTCTTTTATAGATGCTCTCTTGTGTTATTCTACTGTTACGGTTTACTAGTTTAAGAGTATCCAGGAAAACAAGCAAACGCACCAGCTGCTTCTGGAAAGGAAATGTTAAAATAAACCTTGAGGAGGGTAAACATGATTTGGTCTCATCAAGCCGCTAAGTATGAGCATTAATTAATTTGTCCTCACTATATACTACAAGGAGCGGCAAAGGATATTTGATGTCATGCTTGATTAAATGCTTGCTTGATGGCAACATGTTCCCTAAATGTGGAAAAGATGGCACTGTACTTGTGCACACAGTAAATGTGCCTAATTTGATGAGTCTGTATTTAAGATTTAGTCCTCCCCGGTTAATCCATTTGGAGCAGCCATGCTGGGCACTAAAATAGCATCTTTCTCTTGGATGTCCATGTAGGGCTGTAAAATGATGTGCACCTGCTGCAATTTCAGAGAGATGTTTGGAAAACAAATCTACTATTTACCAGCACAGGACCGAGGGAAACATTCCCAATCAAGGGAAAGCAAGGCCCTGGCTCACACGCGTGCGTTACAATGTCAGCTCTTGTGGAGTCTGCAAATTCTGCCAGGAGCCAACAGGAGGGAATCACGTTCCGACGGCGCACAAGTGTTCTGCGGGCCCGCTTTGAATGTGACCGTTCGCAAGTCTTTCTCATCCCTGGAGGCCCACGCTTCTATGCCCCGGCCGTTTAGCAGTGGAGGGCAGCATTTCATAAGGAAGCCCAGGTGCACACTTTGGAGCACTTTAATAAATGCTCACTGATATCATCAGATGGGAAAGGAACGAGGAGGACAAATAATAAGCGAGCACCCGGGAAGGAACGTCCTTATTTGTTGCAACAGCACTGGAGTTCTTCGTTCCGTCGCTTACTCGCTCTCTGTTTCAGGGAAGAAAAAAATAGGCAAAGGTTATCAACAGCAGAAGTATGTTAGGGAAGCCTGCCAGTGGCTATGTTTGGAACTGTACTAATCCTGAAATGAAAATCAGCAGCCTTTCGCCGCTCTTCGGACAAAGCAACTGCCAGCGTTCCTCATGCAGACAGATCGCCTGCAAGAGTCGGGGGAGGGCGTGAAGAGGGCTCTCAAGTGGGATTAGTCCCGACTTCCCTTGAGAGGCGAGGAAGGAAGGAATTAGGCCTGTGGGAAGGAACACCAGAGCAATCCCTTATATCGGTCCTATTTCTGCTTTTCTTTATTTTGGCTGTTAGTCCCCCAGAGTCTTTTCAGAGTCAGTGGAATTATAAATACTATGAAATAGAAGAGTCAGTCAGACAGACACTGCAATACAAGGCAGATGCTTTGCAGCTTAATAACATGGCACAGCTGGAAACACCAGTCCAGAGAGTGGCATGAAGGATTTCTCCATGTGTCAAGGAGCTGCATGTCCTCTTTTCTTTTGGGGATGCCATTTCATTTCACCCCCAGCCCTGCACTCAGGCGTGGGAAGAGAAGTCAGATGCCTGCATATTTCACAGCCCTTCTTAGGAGGCACATTAGGATGACTGAGGAGCTGAAAAGCTATGGGGAAATAACTTGCACCAATATGGAGAAGTTCTTCTGTACAATCTCCCATTCATGACAAAGGAGCTGAGGCAAGGAATACTGTCAGCGGATTGGGGTCATAGCACTGGAGGGTTTTCTTGCCACTGATTTCAGCCAGAGAAGCTAGGTGGTTTTTCCCTCCTTTATAAGTTAATGTATCCAAAACAATAATGGAATGATGAGTACTATTTCCTTGAATGATGTTTTAAGATAACCCAGGCTGTCAGATTTGTAGCAAACATGGAGTCACTGAGAAATAAGAGGGAAGTATTATCAAGTATCCATAATGAGAGCCAGTCTGGTGTCGTGGTTAAGGCAGCAGGCTAGAACCCAGGACACTGTGAATTCTAGCCCTGTCTAAGGCACAAAGCCAGCAGGGTGACCTTGGGCCAGTCACTCTCTCTCAGCCCTAGGAAGCAGGCAATGGCAACCCACTTCCAAAATCTTGTCAAGAAAACTGCAGGGGCTTGTCCAGGCAGTCACCAGGAGTCAACACTGACTTGAAGGCACAAAAAAATAAAAATAAATCCATAAAGAGGCAAAACTAATGTACCAAATATCCTTTTGTATATGCATGTCTTTTTATACAGTTCAACTTTTAACTAAATTAATGTGTTATTTATATTTTTAACTGTTTTTGAGGTTTTATTTTAATTGTGAACTGCCCAGAGTCACCCTTTGGGGGAGATGGGTGGCATATGAATGAATGAATGAATGAATGAATGAATGAATGAATGAATGAATGAATGAATGAATGAATG